GGTAAGGATTGACTATGTTTTGAAAACTTTTTGCTAATAACATATTTTTAATGTCTATATAAAATGTTTTTTTGTACGATAAAATTTATATAAAAATGATCTACATGTACTCTACCCTTAAGTTGGGATTTGCTTATGCTGGGATTTTAACTTATTTTATGGCCCTTTTTGTTAATAAAAAGGTATAGATGGATTTTAGTAGGTATTATAGGTTTAAATAGGGATGTTATATGGTCTTGTCTAAACTGAAAAACCACGGTTAGTCTAAAACTAGTCTGAAGCTAAAAACTTTGGGTCTGCTCTTAGTATTAAGACTGGATCAGACTAGACCAGTTAAGTCTTAAAACTATAGACTATTAAAAACTAGACCAAACTGGACAAAAAAAAGACCAGACTGGACTGTTAACATCCCTAGGTTTAAATAGAGGACCAAAATTCCAGCATAAGCTGCCACAATAATTTCGTAAATTAGCCCATATAAAAAGTTTAACTCAGGTATGTAAGTACATGTACGTACGTACGTACGTACATTATTGATATAGTCTACATCGCGTGATGAATGTAAGACACGGAGCGCAGGGACCCGTAAAAATTTGGATTTTATTTATAGCGATAGGATTTGAAATTCATATAAATAAAATCTAAATTTTTCCGGGTCCCTGACAGCACGGCTTTAGCGTTCAACTTTGTATGATTGAAAGTAAGTGATGTGTGCAAAGCATGTTAAATTTAGATTCTCATGAAATTTTAAATTCATCTAAATGGTTGCAGACAATAATGATGCAATCAATTAAGAGAACCATATATTAGTTCTTGGAAGAAATCCTGTTTCAACATCGATGTGAAGTTTATATATATTTCCTTTTAACGGATTATAGATATCAGAGACAACTATCATGTGAAATGAAAGCTAGAATCATTACGCGATAAAAAAATGCTGGTAAATGATGAATTCATTTAACTAATCCAAGATTCTTTAATTAGGATTTGCCCTGCAAAGACATCGATTTGGAACTCATAAGATTCTATTCTTTTGTTTTGTACTTCAGAAGGTATATCGTCCGTCTAAAGAAATGCGCTGTAACCTTGTCGATGTTGCCCAAGGTTCCATTACCAAGCTTCATTATCATTATGCAATAGTGTAGGAATCCTTAGTTTATACGTAACGTGATACAAAATTATGTTTTTGATGCATTTCGATCAAAAACGGTTACATTTTTGATGCATCTACAAAAACTTTATTAGATTATCAACGGTAATTTGCCCATCCGCACGCGCGTCTATATTTGTATTCTATGTAACAAAGCATGTATGATAATTTTCATGCGCTCTGAACACATATTAACCTAGTTTATAGAAATTTGATAATCATATATAAATAAGATTGTATCCAAAGTATTACCGGTTCCTGATACTACATCAAGAGTGCACAAATAAAGTTCGCACAAATTTCTGGTGCAAATAACACAAGTTCATGAACTTTCCAAATGGAGGCAATCAAGAATCACTTGATCCATAATGAATTATATATATTTCATTATTACTATTAACCTAGTCCAATTTTAGATTGGAAATCATGAATTTATTCAAGTGCTCGCTATTGAATACATTTAGTCATTTAACAACTTCCCTTACAGTGAATTAGATAATTATTTTATTGGTCTTTTATTTTTTTTTGTTTAATGATTTTATAATTTGTAAGCAATATCGGAACTTAAAATTACCGATGGAACTAAAGTTAACCGGTGTATCTGTTAATGGGTCCGTATATAGAAAAAACCTATATGTGTGAATTAGATTTTCATAAAATGCAATGATCTTTGTCTTTTGTCAAAAGTTTAAGATTTACTCATAAAACCAATAAGAAAAACAAACGTCCAATCTTTTAAAAAAAATTCTCATGATGGACCAGTGGGGTGTTAGATACCAAATGATTAACTATCATAGTTCAGCACTATATGATTGGCCCACTATTAAAGATTTTTAAAATTTTGTCGATCAATTTATTGAAAAAATTTATCATAGTAATTTTATAATAAAAACCGTGCATTTTTAAAATGTTCTAACTCCCGTTCTAGTAAAGCAATTTCAATTCTGTAACTTGCAAATGATATGTAAATGGTACGCTTTTAAAACTATGTTGAGATATTTTTTATTTCATTTTATTAATGTGGCTAAAATTGTAAATTAATAAATTTTAATAGTTTTTTAAACGATTAAGTTATAGAGAGCTACTAAAACTTACATAATAATATCAAATATGGCAACATAGTTTTAAAAGCATACTTTTAATACACTATTCGCTTTTTACAGAATTAAGTTTGCTCTACTAGAGCAGGAGTTAGAACGTTTTAAAGGTATTATTCTAGTAGAATAATACCTTTAAAACGTTCTAACCCCTGCTCTAGTAAAGCAAACTTAATTCTGTAAAAAGCGAATAGTGTATTAAAAGTATGCTTTTAAAACTATGTTGCCATATTTGATATTATTATGTAAGTTTTAGTAGCTCTCTATAACTTAATCGTTTAAAAAACTATTAAAATTTATTAATTTACAATTTTAGCCACATTAATAAAATGAAATAAAAAATATCTCAACATAGTTTTAAAAGCGTACCATTTACATATCATTTGCAAGTTACAGAATTGAAATTGCTTTACTAGAACGGGAGTTAGAACATTTTAAAAATGCACGGTTTTTATTATAAAATTACTATGATAAATTTTTTCAATAAATTGATCGACAAAATTTTAAAAATCTTTAATAGTGGGCCAATCATATAGTGCTGAACTATGATAGTTAATCATTTGGTATCTAACACCCCAATGGACCAGCTTGATGAGACAGATAATTAACTATTCAATTATCAAACGAGTTGCACAAAAGCAAGAACTAAAGATCAATAAAAGTTGTAAAGTTGCATTATATAATATGCAATAACTATTTCGGATATGCACTACATGCGTGCAAATGCGTATGTACTATCAGCTATGCACGTTTTAAGATGTTGGCACATATCCCCTCATTAATTTCACGTGATAATATGTTACATTATAATATTAATATTTTCTGTTATCAGTTTCATCTTTACTTATCTCCTGATCAAAATCCCATAATAATATTGGCAATTCAGATCATACTTACTTAACTCACCAATCATGTACTTTTATTTTTCTCATCTTACATAAAACTATAGTCCGAAATATGCCGAGTGTTAGCTGTTATTATTCAGGTAGCTAGTGATCAAATGGCCCGGACTTAGAGAAATCTTTTGTGAAGATAACAATAATGCAAATATATTAAAAACCATTTTGGTTGTGAATATATTTGTTTCGCTGCCTTCATACATAATATTGTCTTTTTTATTTTTAAATTATTGTCCCTGTAATTCTTATAAATTTGGCCTATTCATTATCGACAACAAAGATATATTCGTGAATACAGTATTACTACCGGTAATCATTATCGCGGTAAAGTTGAAAATGGCTAAAATTAGGTTATATCTAAAAAAATATAAATCTTACTAAAATTCACTTTTACTTTTTGATTATAAACTTTAACCCTAAATCCTAACTAAAAAAAAATGCTCTCAAAACATTTTATATAGTATAATTATTTATGGTGCAGGTACGCGCAGAAAATTATTTGGGCTACCCTTAACTGTAATTTCTTTAGGGAATTTTAATACATTTTTGGTTGACAATTTAACCAATGATTTAAACATATCTGTTGGACTTTTGTTACCATCTTTGGCAATAAGAAGGGCAACTACCCCCGCAACGTGTGGTGTTGCTTGGGATGTTCCCGATAATATCATGCTTTCATTATTAGAGAAAATGCTTGCTGACTCAACATTTCTGCCTGGTGCAAAAATATTAACGCATTTTCCAAGATTGGAGAAACTTGCAACTAAATCTGATTTGTCTTCCGTAGCACCGACTGTGATTGCTGTTTTCTCGGATGCTGGTGATTTATCGCACGCGTCCCTACCTCCGTTTCCTGCTGACACAACCACATGGATTCCATTATCCGTGAGCCTTTTCACCGCTGAATTTACGGCTTTCGTAAATTTACCTCCAAAAGACATGCTGAAAAAAAAAACTATTCTAATTAATTAAATTCTTCAAGAAATTATTTCATAATTAATACACACATACTTGACTATAGTTTTTTTATTTTTCGATTTCTTATGTTCATTTAGAATGAAGGATAATCCCTTAATAACTTCAGAATTATTACATTTACCAGAAGGACCAAAAGCTTTGATAGAAATTACCGTTGCTTTCTTTGCAACTCCAAAAGTTTTACCAGCAACGATAGCTGCAACGTGTGTCCCGTGTCCATTTTCATCATCATTGTCACAACCACTACAAAAAGTACCTCCAAATTTAGCGCGTCCTTCAAATTCTGGGTGCTCTTTATAAATGCCACTAAATTTCGAAAAAAAATGTAAATTTATTTTTTCCTAAGGTTTAATGAATGTTACCTATAAAAAAAATTTTAAAAGAATTTTCACTTACGTATCTACTATATAAACATTAACACCTCTTCCTGCTGAATGAGGAAAAGAATAACTTTGATCTAAAGTATATTTTATTTGATCTATACGATCTAAACCTTCACGTACATTCGAAGTTTGGATATCACGCGGAATCATATAATCAATTTCCATAACTCCATCTTCTTCAATTATATCAACTTCATTTCTTGTCACTAATTCTTGATTAATAAATTCAGAAGTAAACCAACCACTATACACATTAAAATTATCTTCTTCTGAAAAATCACTTAAATCATTTTTATCAACAATATTATGAATACTTCTAGTAACCTTATTAACATATTTATTACAACGACTTTGTAACCATTCAAAATGCTCCTTTTGAGCCAATTTACTTAATTTAAGAACGATATTATACTTTTTTTCGGTTCCTTTGTAGGGGTTTATATTGATGTTATACTTTTGTTCTTGTGCCGCCGGCTCAACAAAGGTGAAAAAACAAATTATTACAAAGACAAAAACGATATGTTGTAAAAAACTCATTTTTTTTTAAAAAAAAAAAAAAAAAAAAGAAAAAAAGAAAAAAAAAAATAAGGATGAAAAATTGTCCTTGGACCGAAAATAATAAATTTATTTATTTCCATATAGTTGGTAAAATAGAATTCAACTTTAGAAATATCTGCATTTATATATATTTACCTTAAGAATTTACTTACTAAATTAAATAAAACTCGAAATTATATCAATAGTAAATAATCAAATTTATATGAAATACAATTAAGGTTAAAAAGTAAATGTTTTTTCTTTTACCTTTAAAGGTTCATATTGCAAAAAACGAAAGTTGATCTTTTTAACTAGTTAAATTTTTCTTAAACTAAATAAGGAAAAACGTTCAGATTTTGACACATTGCACATCATCGTTCGGTCTAGTGTAGATAATTTAATATACAAGTATTAGTTTATATTATATAATTCCGGTTCGGCTCATTCGGCAAAATTAGTCTAACAAGATAATTATAATACAAAAAATTTTTTTAATATGTAATTTTATATATGGATACGAAGAATGATCATCGCCAAGAGAAAAATACTAAATTTTAGAGAAAGCAAAACTATAACGGAACACATCATGTCATGTATGCTACTTAGCTATACAAATTATACAATATTATAGATCGCTTTCTATTAAAGAAAAACTATGCATAATACGCATACAAAAGTGATCCACCCAAAATATTCACAAAAAACAATTTTGATTTCAATCAATCAATCCACTTCGGTTTTAATTCTCTTTCTTGATGGTTCATTAGAATCATAATTAGCATCATAACCGCCATAAAAATTCATTTCTGACATATACTGTTCCTGCTCTAACTCTGAAACAAATCTTCTTAAAGTCGCATAAACATTTTGATTAAATCTAATATCTACATGATATCTCCTAACATATTCTTTCATCCGTTTTAGATAATCTTTATATACAATCACCCCAACATCTGGAAATTTTGCTATGATCCAACAAAAGAATACGAATTCAATAGGTGAAAATTTGTTGTTTTGATGAAACATTTGTACATCAAGCTCAATCAATGTTACCAAAGTTTCAAAAACTTTTTTAACTGATTGTGCAAGTCCAAATGGAACCTCTCGACCGTTTTGTAAATATTTTTGAATAGATACAATTGATGCTTTAAATTTCTCCGATTCTTGCTCGATCATGTGTAGCGTTTGAGAAATCAATTGAAGTGGTTTGCCTCTGGTTGTATCAATAATTTTCGATATTGATGGGTAATTTTTATAAAGGTCTTGCGCAAAGTCGACGATAGGTGTATTTATAACTGCCAATTTTTCTATAATTAAATATTTAAATATATATATGATCAGAATTATATTATATGAATTTATAGTTATAAAACTTGTACAAAAGCAATTTCGATTTTATTACCTGCTGCAGTTAGCGGTACACCAAGTTGAACGCGACTGAATATTTCTTGTTCTTGAGACAGCGAGAGATCATAATATTCAACTATACATAAAATAAAAAATTAATGAAGTTTTAACATACCATCTTGTAATAATGAGCGATAAACTTACCACAAACGATCTCAAAGCATTCGAATAGTTCCTTTTCCTCATCAGATAAGGCAGGGTGATTTGATCCTTCAACTTTGTCATAATATCGTTTCACGTTATGTCCTCCAGGTGAATGATGAGGAATTTCATTATTCATAAATCTAAATAATTAACGTGAAGATCTCTTAAGATCCAAAACTTAAAAATCACTAAACGAAATCGTATACGATCCTAGTGATATCGAACACTCTAAAAAAAAAAACTTTCATGTAACCCACCTCGTAATTGATGTCAATCTCTGTTTTCCGTCAATACAAACACGTTTCCATTTGTTAGTACCCTCCACTTTTTTGCACGAGAAAATCACGGGAGGAATGTAAAAATTATTAAGGATCGAATCAATTAAGTGGGATTGTTTTACATCTAAAATACAAATGACATTAAAATGTATTCATAAATGATAAACCTGTCACAATTTACATAAGAATTATCAATCATTTAGATAAAATAGAATTAATTGGTACCTCGCCAGACTACGCCTGCATTCATAAACGAGAAGTGTCATTAAATTGTACACGAAACGTTTAATACAAAAACATTTTTCATCGTATCTCTTAAAAATTTTATTATATTATTTACCTCGCTGGAATTCAGGGTTAACATCAATCAACCCTTTTCTTAGCCAGTCGTGTAATTTGTATAAAGTATGAGTAACATTCCGTGGTTTCGTTAATGCAGTTGTTGTTTCCATACCAAAAGGTACTTATAAGGAGAAATAAGTTTACTATAAGTATGATATTTATTTATGAATTTATAGGGTGGCGATAACTAGAAGTATATCTGATAATACAATAATAGTAAAAAGGAAAATTGAAAGGGACACTTGACTAAAGACAAAATTGAAGTATAAATTTATACTATCCACGTGTTAGAAGTTATAGTGATCTTCAGGGAGAAAAAAAATCTGTAGTCTATTTATAAAAGCTACTTGTTATTGATAACTTGTTTGATTAGTTGGTTACAATCGTGGATATAACTTAGAAATTAGTATAACTATAATAACTGTAATCTTTTTTTTTATAATTGTCCAAAAACTTACTAGTTGATGTATATATGGTTTTTTCTTTTAACAAAGCAATGAAGTAATTATAGCAATATGAATGATTTTTCACGGACATACTAATTCCCGGCTACTATTTTTGGTTTTGAAAAGGTAAACAATTATTATTACATGCATATAAATTTACTCAAATATATCTTATTTGCACCATTTGTGTATCAAATGGTGTCAATATTTGCATAATCTTGTATTATAATTTATACATTTATATCATTGATAATAAGGCAAAATTGTTAATTTTTTTTAAAAAAATTTATTTGGTATATTTAAATAATTGTAGTTAAATTAATTTTTAAATTATAAATTAATTTTGATTTAAAAAAATTACAAAAGTTGTTTTAAAGGCAATAAAACTATAGTATTAAAGCATTCTATCTAATTAAATTAAAAAAAAAACTAATATAAAAAAGTATATAAAGCAATTGTAATTTATTTATGAAAATTACTATTTATATCTGGTGGGTATAATACCTGGTATAAGAAAAAAAATCCAAAATCCTTAATATCTTAAAATTTTACTAAAGTAACCATATATAGATATCTTAAGTAAAATTGTTTAGCATCTAATTTTGTATACTGTATAATCACATATATTTCTAAATCTAACTCTAATCTTAATATATTAAGCTCTATATAATTATTATACTAAGTATAGTAAATTTTTTTATTTATACATATATATATTTTAATCTTCAAAGATGAGGCTTTCTTTATTTATATTTAAAGTTTTTAATAAATAAAAAAAAACTTATTTAAAAATTTGATATAAACTGTTTTGTTTTTAATATTGATTTAATTTATATTTTTTTTAATTAAATACTGTATAATATTTATAAATTTAAAAACAATTTTATAATATATTATATATACTATATACTATATATATTATATTGTTATATTAGCAAATTTTATTAGTCAAATTTATTTAGATTATATATATTTTATTAGACAATTTTTATTAGTTGAATTTTATTAACAAATTTTTTTTTTATAATTCAGCAATCCTGCCTCTGTTTATTTAAGATTAAGCTATTCAAGAATTATACATTTCTATCTATAGCTATCATTAATTTAACCAAACTAAAAACTTACCCTAGCTTTCACCTAGGTGCGATCTGCCTCAGTAGTTCTTGGCCTCCCTCCAGATTCTTAACTTACTAAAGATTTATTTTCTTTTAGTCATCGGCTGGTGACTACCCGTCTTGTCAGTACTATCTAATTATATTTATATTCTATAACGTAATTGCACTTTGGCCATGGCCAGTACTTGTGAACAATGCAAAACATCGAATTGCTAATCTTAAGATAAGATTATTATGTTGTGTATTTTCTATTCTATAAATTCTAAAAATTTTGCTACTATTTAATTTCTTCTGTGATCTTCTATAGTTACCCCAATTTATCTTTTCATACTTTATTTCTTTTCTTTCTACTGGTAGTCTGTTCTGACACTTCAATCTTCTACTTTCTTCCTTCTTTTTATGTTTCTTTCAGTTTCTAAGCTTTACCTTATTCTTCTTGCTCTTGATCATATTCTTTATACAGATTTCTTCCAAAAGTATTTGTCTGCAGCTTTTTCCTTCTTCTAATTTCTTTGATATTACTTTTGATTCTTTTGCTTCTAGGTCTTGGTTAATTTGTTTAGATCTTCTTTTACTCTTTTGTCGAAACTTTGTGCTTTCTTTCTTTCTTCTACTCTATAGTCTTATATTTCTTCTAATAAGTGCCTTTCGAGATCTTATATACTTCTCTTTATTTTTTGGTCTTTTTAAAAACCTCCTTACTGTTTCCAATGTGAAGTTTTTCTTTTTCTTCTTCCAATTCTTGACTGTTTGAAACTGTGTATTCGCTTTTTTTTTCTTATTCCATAAGCTTGCTTTTCTTCTATATAGCTTCTTTTGTAATTTAAAGCACTTTTCTTGCTTTCTAGCTACTTTTCTTATACTTCTTTTTGCTATTCTAAACCTAATGTCTTTCTTTTTTCTTTTCTAATTCTTGACTTCTACTATTCTCTCTATTGCTGCATCTTGTATGGTATTATTTTTATTTATACTAATGTTTGTTAATGATCTAATTTGTCTACTCCATTCTTCTAAG